AGAATGAAGGGACCATAAATAAAGGGCAACTTTTCTGCCAGTTTGGTCTCCATGGGATCACCTTGGGGCCAGATGCATATTCTCTTCCCACTGATGGGTCCACCTCCCCTGGAATCAACATCTCCCCAGGGTATGTAAGTGCTCAGGCAGGACACATGGACAGGATAACATCACGAGCTTCTGAGATGCTGTGAGTCACACTGAGTGTCTGACCCAGAGATTTAGTGATGTCCCTGACCACACCCATCCCAAACAGGAACCTCCCAGAAATTTTCCCTTGACCTCAACTTTGAAAACCAGAGATCAATTCTGAATATGTACTTGATGGGGGTAAACTTTGGCTGTAGAGGTAGGGTGTCTTTTTTACAAGTTCTCCAGATCCAATTATTCAATTTTTTCATCTGGGGTAAATGCATTCACATCTTTAAACTCACACAGGTACATATTTTTTTTCTGGCCAGCAGGGCTATTCAGTGCATTCCTTTACTATGGACGGGAAAGCATACTTTGAATGAAAGAGTACTTTGAATATAAAACCAGTACCTGATAGTGACTTAGAGTCACTGCCAAACATATTTGTAAAGAACTAGATAAAGATTATTTTTGGACCATCAGTGCTCTGTTGCAGCTACTTAACTCTGCCTTGCAGTGTGGAAGCACTTGTAGGCAATACCCACACAGATGGGCTTGGCTATGCTTATTTTCTGTGGATCCTATAACAACTAAGCCCAAATGGGTGGCTTAAAACAACAGGAATTTATTTCATCAGGTTCTTGATGCCAGAAGTCTTTTCTCAGGATGTCAGAGAGGCTGCCCTCCCCAGAGGCTCTGAGGGAGGCTGTGCTCCTTGCCACTTCCTGCTTTTCATGACTCCAAGCATCCCTGGGCTTTGTGGCTGCATCACTCCAATCTCGGGAGACATATGGTCTTCTTTTCTCTGTGCCTCTCCACTGTGTCTCTTATTAGGAGCCTGGTCCTTGGTTTTAGGGTCCAACTGGATAATCCAGGATGATTTCATCTTGAGATCCTTAATTATATCTATAAAGAACTTTTTTTTCAAATAAGGTCACATTTATTTGAAAAATAAAAGCGGAGGCTAGAATGTAGACATATCTTTTACGGGGCTACCATCACCCTACTGATAAAGCCTCTTTACTAAAACAGGCTGTGGGTGGCATTTACTCTTTGGGGAGTCCTTTGCTTACCGCTGATTTATGTGTGTTGATTCAGACATGGGCAATAAGTAAATCAGATACAAAATTGTAAAATTAAAAGAAGAGTTAAATCTGGCCTCTTTTCTGCTAGTGGGAAGGTCCAGGAAATCTATAGCACACAGGCTCTGCACAGTCTCCCCAGACCCTGGCTGATGTACTGTCAGACCTGTTCACCATCCTGACTTTCTTCCCAATATAACTCTCTCTATGCCAGTGTCCATTAAAGTCAACCTGAAATACCTCTAGGAGCCTCAACCAGGAGCTGTCCTTGTTTTTTGCTGATGGTTCCAGTAACCTGGCAATCAATTCTCTTACTGAGGCTTCTTTCAGTTCTATGGAATAGTGTATGGAGTACAGACTACCTGATTTCAATTATGGACAGAAGCAGTCCACCATGAGAGCCACGAGCCTCTAATATTGAGAATTTATTAACTTTATTATCTTAGAATAGATTAATAGAAAAAATTATCCAGAAATACTAGAATCATCTTAAGATATGCAAATGATACTGTATAACAGCACTTCTGAGAAACTGTACATAAGGTATTTTTTAGCTATCATAAAATAGTTTCCTTGATCATCAGCTAATATCAGACCTGACAAGAAAAAATTTGAGGAATGTGCTTGAAGGTCCTACAGAGGACAAATATACCTGCTACTATCATGTATGTCATCACTGTTCTGAAATTTCAAACCAATGCAACCAAAGAGTAAAAGCAATAGTAGGTTCATGTCTTGGGTAAAAGTAAACTAATCACATTTACAGATGATAATATTGGATACCTAAAATGCATTAGAAGGCTATTGCAACTAAGAAGTCATGTTGATCAGTCTTGATTTAAAAAACAAGCATGTATTGCTTGGTTGGTGCTGCTCAATGCTTGAGCATCAACTCATGAACCAGAAGGTCATGGTTGGATCCCTGGTCAAGGCACATGCCTGGGTTGCAGGCTCGAGTATCTGAAGCAAATGCTACTCTCTGGGTCTTTGCACTGACTCTTCCCACAGCCAAGCACACAATTCCCCCAGATAACTTCACGATTCCCACTCTGTCTTCCTCTAGGACTCTGTTGAAATGTCACTTTGCCGGTCTTTCTGAACTCTCAGTTAAATACAACGCCTCCATTCACTCTATTTCATGCCTGCTATTCTTTTTCATAGCATCTGTCACTATCTGACAGAGCAATGTTTTTTCTCCTTGGTAATTTATATTCTTTCTCCATCAATGCATTGTAGAAAACTTTATTTCTAGGCATTCTATACTCTTACCCTAGAAGATAGTCAGTACTCAACATAAATTCCTCAAATGCATAAAAGAATTTTTCATATAGATGGTATATTACATGACCTCTTGGGGGAAAGCTAAGTGTAGGACAAGAATTCCTATCACAGTTGTCACAGCAGATCCCTTAAAGGGGATATGAACATCCAGATACAGAGCAAAGTCATCACTATATAGGCTGCATTACACAGATGTATTTTCTCACACTCTTTGGAGGTTGGTACAACTTCCTTCTAACTGTGATGGAGTATGACAGGTATGTGGCCATCTGCCACCCCCTGCACTACACAGTCATCATGAACCCCCGGCTCTGTGGACTGCTGGTTCTGGTGCCCTGGATCATGAGTGTCCTGAATTCCTTGTTATACAGCTTAATGATATCAAGACTGTCCTTCACTGCAGAATTAGAAATCCCCCACTGTTTCTGTGAAACTAAGCAGAGGATCAAGCTTGCCAGTTCTGACACCGTTCTTAATAACATGGTGATGTATTTTATAACTGTGCTCCTGGGTGCTGGTCCCCTCGCTGGTATCATTTACTCTTACTCTAAGCTAGTGTCCTCCATTTGTGGAAACCCATCCGCTCAGGGGAAGTATAAGGCATTTTCTACCTGTGCTTCTCACCTCTCAGCTGTCTCCTTATTTTATGGTTCAGTCCTAGGAGTACCATAAAGCTCACACTCAAGTGCAGCAGCCTCAGTGTTGTATGCTGTGGTCACACCCATGCTCAACCCCTTCATCTACAGTCTCAGGAACAGGGACATAACGAGGGCCCTGAAAAGATTCTATGGGATGGCAGGTACAAGACAGAATATCAGCCTGAGGTAGAAAAAGTGCTCCAAGACCCAGAAATTGAGATTCTTTCATCAGATTGTAGTTTTCAGACTTGTTCCTTTTATTCTGTCCTTGAATTTCCTTTGTTCGTTTCAACTCTTTTATACAATTTAAGTAACCATTTTATTCAACTTTCTGCTTTGTCTGTTATATAGACAGTTGTTCCCTTAGTCTTTTTTTGTACCTTCACAAAGTGTTTTCCAACCTTGGTCAGAAATATTTGGAAGTTTTCATTTAATTCACTGAC